AAAAATGGCTGTGCAAATATAAAACTGTTATGTAAATTCACCTTATTACATATAGCTAATCCTCAATTTACTCATCATTATCAACTTTTATTTGTTACAACTTTGCTAAATATATACATATTATACATGGAGATAACACATTTCTGTGGCAGGACTTGAGTAAATATTATCACATAAGATTAGAAAATATCCACTATTATTGAATTATTTTATTTACAAATATTTCTCCCAAAGAAAAAGCTTTTAAATATTTTAGAGGGGGGCTGATGAGATAGCTCAGCCAACAAAGCACCTCTGGGGTGTGCTGAGCCTGCAACAGAGTCTGGGTGTGGTGGCACACACCTGTAATCCCCACGCTGGGGAAGCTGAAAATAGGAGGATAAGTACAAGTCCTATCTTTGTAGTGAGACCCTGTACCAAATACACAAATAAAAGAAGAAAATTAGTCTCCAGTTCAATAAAATATAATTACTCATTATCAGGTACTTTTATTCTTTTCAAGGTCACCATCTTCCTTTCATGGCCACTGAATCAGTAGTTTTAAAAACAATTCTTTTAACTCCAGCTACCCATGACAGCTAGGCTTGGACAAGGCCAGAAGATTGCCAGCACATGTATCAGACTTGAAAAATCTGCAGTGAGGTCTTTCTCATAGGAGTTCAAAACCTATAATCATGTGTGTCAGAGACGTATGTTGAGTGTTCCTTTTAATCATCCTGAAACTATGCCCGGACCCTGTATTTATGGAAAAATCATCTTCTACAAAACCAATCTCTGGTGCCAAAAAGGTCACGTAACACTCCCTTCCATTACCAGTTAGCTCCCAGGAAATCAAATATTGCCATTGATACTGAATTTGTCCCTACCCCACCAGTTCACTTGGATTTCAGAATTCCCTGACATCCTAAAAATTAGACCAAGTGGGCAATGACAGGACTTAGAGGTGACAAAATATAGATGTGGTAGACTTGATGTGATTTTTTACAAAAGAACAATGGGTAATTCTCTAATCATGAGATGGGAGGGACTTACTTTCTGTGAAATTACATGTTAGAATATTTACAAAAAATACTTGATTGCAAATATCAACCATATATAAATACCTCTATAAAATCAGAGGCAGTTAGTATTTTTTTCCCATAATTTTATTGAGAAACTAAGAGCAATGAGACAGTTTCAAACCAAACTGGTAGGACAGTTTCAATAATTAACACATTGCATACATTCTTCCTAGTGGTTAATTGCTGTACAAGATGCGGACATGATATCCTATTTACAAACACCATTAGAACAAAGCAGTTAGTATTTTTAATGCATACAAAAGCACTACAAAAAATTATGTTTCATTTAAATCATAGTTTACAGCAAACTAGTTGAATTTAAATGCGATTAAACAAAATATCAATTAGATATCTATTGTCTCTCTTGGAAAATTATATTATTTTATTGCCTGTGTTTTACAATTGTTGCCAAGCAGCTTTTAAATCTTATGATTAGTTTTCTGGAAAATGATACATGTTTTGTAATCTCTGGTGTGGTTTTGCTAGCTAGGTTGCTGCTGCTGAAATTTGGGCTTCTTGAAAAACAGGTGTTCTCAATGCATTTCACTTTGAAAACATCCTGACCTACTGTGTTAAGTGTTTTAGCTCTTGGAAATTCAGTTCTTGACCATCAATAACTATAGTAGTTTATGAGTACTTCATTGATATAGCAGCCAAATCTACATCTAAATTACCATGAACAGCACTTTCCTACTCTCGTCACTTTGAGTAAGATAAGGAAAGTTGCTTGACAATAACTTCAAAGGCAAAGGAAGTCAAGGTCACTCCATTTCATTGCATTGCCAAGAATGCATTTATAAAAGGAATGAGTTCTCGGTGGAAGTGGTCCTATTAGACTCTAAATGCATCCTACTTTTGCTCAGCCTTCCTCCACTTTTCCCCTTCTGAAATCAGTTACCTCAAGGAGAAAAACTGAATTCAAGAATACTATTTTAAAAATTCAATTTGCAAATAAAAAATTATATCTGTATCATATACAAGTTTTTTAAAAAATAATTTTATTGAGAAACAAATAGCAGTGAGACAGTTTCAAAACTGATTAGTAGGATAGTTTCAATAATTAATACATTGCATACTGTTGTCTTCTTAGTGGTTATTCATAGTACAAGATTCATAGTACATGATATCCTGTACAAAAACACTATTAGAATAAATCTATTTACTGAATTAAGAGAAAGTAGCTGGATATCTATCCTAACTATTGTGAACATACAGATACAAAATGGTCATATACAAGTTGTGATGCATGTATAGTTCTGTATGTAACATATAATTTGTCCAGTGGGGGACACATTTTTGTCCCTCAGTCCCCTTATTCATAACTTTACTACTATGTTTGGTATTTCTTTTCCCTTCTGTGGCCTAATGATGCTGATGGCCTACTCTTTCCATAATGAGAATCTACTTTGCACGTTAGTACATTATAGACCATCGTACCCATTGTCTGGAGGTTTATGACTGTCATCTCATTAATATTTGTAACAATCCTGAAAGCAATTCTAAATATTATGCTAACCATCTTTAAGATTATGTAGCAGAGGTACAGAAAGATTGTATCTACTCTTAGCCTTAAAGGTTGATAAACCAATGCAGGGTGCTAGAACTAACTTACTCAGGACCTTACACTTGCCAGGCAGGTGCTATGCTGCTGCTGAGCGATTTCCCTAACCCTAGAACCCTTTCTGTGCGTGTACTTTCCAATACTGCTTCATAAGCCTGTCCTATAGTCACACTTCCATTGATTTCTTCTGGAGTTACTCTATGGAAAGGAAAAATTACTTAACATTTGGAGACTAGATTGCATTGCTCTGTAATGAACTCTGGTGCTCTATATCCTAATTTAGATACAAACTCCTCAAACATGAACATCTGTGTAGGTCTGTTAGCACGACACTGTGTCTCAGTAGGCAAAGGCAGAGGTACAACACGTACTTGGGGAATGGCAGTCCTTTGCCTAATAGACTCTGCAGTGTACTTGCAGATCTAGGATCTTCCCTACTAGGACTTCTTGTTTCTGTCACCCACATTTTTACTCAATTTGATGTAGACTTTAGTTATTTATACTATCTCTCAGGTCACTAGACAAATTACTACCTTTGTACATGTCTTGCTGCTATGGTTCAACCATTCAACTACTGACATTGCTTTTTTTCGGTCTGGCCTATTTTCCTCTGAAAACACGGACCTTCAGTAGTTGGGTTTTAGATTTGGTCTTTTTTTCAGAAAAAGCTGATGACATAACAAATGCTGCTGTTGGATATAATGCTCATTTAAAGTTTTACTAATTATAAAGGGCCATCAGATAGCTCAGCAGATTACAGCGCCTGCTTAGGCAGACTGAGGGACTAGGGTTTGATTCTTGCCCTGTCGTGCCAATCCTGCCCCTAGGGTGTGCTGAGATGGTGACTGAGATTGGGTGTGGTGGTGCGTGCCTATAATCCCCACTCTTGGGAGGCTGAAAACAGGAAGATCACTATGAGTCTGATCTGTGTAGTGAGACCCTGTAGACCTTGTACTAAGTATATAAAAAGTAAAATAAAATAAAATAAAGTTTTGCTAGTTGTGTAAAAAATTTTGCATACTCTATGAACTGGTATAGCATATTTAGGAAATAAGAACAATATCCAAATTTAGCAAGATTTCTTTTACAGAAATTCTAAATTCTTTCCTTATAAGTTCTTTAGCTGTCCACTATTTCCTACTAAACATTTATAGTATTCTAGTATGTTTTTGAAAAAAGGAATTAAGAGACTAATTTTTGTAACAGCATGTAAATTTGTGAAGCCACTGATTCACTGTTGATGTCACTTATTTGGTAAAAGTATGATTATTTGTGGAGAGAATATAGATGCTCTAAGAAAATAGTTTAACAGAAATTAGTTGTCTAGAATTATCAGTGTATGATTTTTGTTTCCTTGGTTAAGAGAATGCATTTATTTTCACACAACTCAATTTCACCATTCAAAGGTTAGATGGTTGATCCAGCCTAGAAATCCAAAACAATTTTTTAATGGAATGGGCTAATAATTTAAATTCTCTGATCATGATGGGGAAAAAAAAAAGTCTGTCCATTTATATCCATGATTGATTTTAAAAGTTCTTTGTCATAACCAAAATTTGGCTAGGTTTCAGTCTATGTTTATAGCCACCATCCCCCCCCCCCAACACATGGAAAGTTGTACGGTAACTACAGATGCACTAAGACCTATCAATTTGAAATAGGACTTAAGAAAACTACCTTCTTAAGTTAGCCTTTCAACTTTGAGACTGCATTTTTAATCTGTACCCCCAGAAAAGTCCTTTATTACCAACATGTTTGATAAAAGTAAATTTCCATCTAATTCTTAATTCACAAGAGTTCAGTTTTCTATGGAAAGATGCTGAGCGCACTGGCCACAGCATCAGTGTTAGAAGTGTATACACCTATCTTTCGCAAGAGGGAACTTTTCCATGCCAGGCAGGAAAGTATGACATCTCTGGTTGGCCACGGTCTCTACAGTGCCATTTTGGCCATCAAAAGAAGGTAACATTTCCAGTTTCCCTTACCAGATTTGACTCCTGGACTCGCTATCCAACACAGCTCCCTCGGCCTCCCTGCAGCCCCAATGTCACGCCCTAGGGAGGTATCCCACAGGTGGCCCCGGATGCAGGATGCAATCCTCTGTCGCTACAGGTCACGGAGTAGAAGAACTACTGACGTGCCCTTCAGGGCCGCCAGTTTCACAGGACTATGTGGTAAAGTCGTCACTACGCTTCCTTCTCCCAGGGCTGCACAGTCCCTCTCAGCACTTCCGCCACCGGGCTCTAGACCCAGGAAGTGACGCAGCCTCTCTGCAGCCAGGCGTTGCTCCGCCTCTTCAGGCCCCGCCCCTTTCAGGCCCCGCCCCTCGCGCCTGCGCAGTGGCGGCCCAGAGCCGCGCAGCTGCAGTGGCGCCTTGCTGCGGAGCCCGCCGCTCGTTCGCCATGTCAAGTCCCAGCAGCCGCAAGTTCAAGACCGGGGACCTGGTGTTTGCCAAGGTGAAGGGCTATTCTCCTTGGCCTGCTAGGGTCGAGCAGATATCCCAACCTAACCGGTACCAGGTGTTCTTCTTCGGGACCTACGAGACGGCCGTTCTGAGCCCCAAGCGTCTCTACCCCTACGAGGAGTGTAAGGAGCGGTTTGCCAAGGCCAGTAAGCGCTGGGGCTTCAGTGCGGGGCTGTGGGAGATCGAGAATGACCCCAAGGTCAAGGCTGCCCATCTGGGCCCCCAGGCAGGGGCGGCAGAAGAGGCGGCGGCAGGCAGCGCCAACGCCTGTGACCTCGAGCCCCAGCCCCAGCTCGAACCCGATCTAGAGCCGGAGCTGGAGCTGGAGCCGGAGCTGGAGGCCGAGCTGGAGCCGGAGCTGGAGCCAGAGCTAGAGCTGGAGCCGGAGCTGGAGGCCGAGCCAGAGCTGGAGCCAGAGCTAGAGCCAGAGCTGGAGCCGGAGCTAGAGCCAGAGCTGGAGGCCGAGCCAGAGCTGGAGCCGGAGCTGGAGGCCGAGCCAGAGCTGGAGCCGGAGCTAGAGCTGGAGCCGGAGCTAGAGCTGGAGCCGGAGCCGGAGCCACAGCCACAGCCACAGCCACAGCCACAGCCGGAGCCGGACCCGGACCCGGACCCGGACCCGGACCCTGAGCCCACCGAGGACCAGCAGGATAAGGCCCTGTTGAAGCGGGGCATGGAGGACCCACCTGGGGATGCCCCCAAACGGTCCAAGGCCTCCTCGCTGAATGGCCCGGAGCAAGAAGAGGAAGCTGAAAAGGAAGAGGAGAAGGATGAGGAGGCAACCAGGGAGGAGCCTGAGGAAGAGGCCAACAAGGCCATGGCCCCAGGTGGCCTGTAGTCATTACCTTACAGAAAGAGCCCCTACCGACCCTGCTGCACCCAGCTGTGGATGGAGAAACCCTTCTGGCTACACCGTGGGACTCCTCCTCCCACCTCCACCATTCTCTTCTCCGCTTTTTCCCCAATCCTGGCCCCAAGCAACTTGATGGGACAAGCTACCTGATGGGACAGACTGCTTCATGGTGTAGTTACTTAACAGGACATACCACCTGGAAAGGACTCATTACCTGGAATGGACAGGAGGCAGTTAGATGGGACAGACCACGTAGGAAAGACTGGTCACCTAGAAGGGCCAGGCCACCTGGAACAGGCAGGCCCATTGGATGGGACAGACCACTTGGATGGGACAAAATACCAGAATTCCACCTGCCTGATCACCATTTGTCATCCAAGTCAAGGCCCTTGTTGCCCAGCACGAGGCACCATCGTGTCTTTTGGGATCTCAAACTACTTCTCAGTGGTGCTATTAACGTGGGTCGGGTTCTCTCTAATTCCTAACACACAGCCTCCCCTGCCTTAGGCATCCTGTACTTCTACCTTGAAATCCAGTAGGAGTAATAAAGGAGAATGAAGAGCAGCTGACTTCCAGGAACCCATCAACTGCAGTGGTAGGGGAGCAGAAGGGTAACATCTAACTGTTGCACTTCTTCCTGTTCCTTCAAAAACAGCTCTGTTCTATAAATTCCAGGAAAGTGAAACAGCTATTAGGAAAGGGCCTTCCCTTACTAATCCTTATGTCAGTCATGGAGTCCTGGGGTTGATCATTTTTTTGTGTGCGAAACCATTTGTGACACCCCAGTATTTCTGCAATCTGAAGGGATCACTTTGCCAGTAGAGGACATGGGCAGATTGGGAGAAGTGAGGATGAACAGACTCCATGCAGATACCTGAGGCCATCCATGAGAGGCCCTGGAGAAACCTTTGGCTGCCTGTTCTTTCTCCTTGCAGCCTGAAGGCCACCGTGGTTATGTACCTCCTATGTGTAAAAAGAAAGGCACAGATTTTAAGCAAACTTTTAAATAAAAGGAAGTTTTTAAAAATTAAGAAGTTACTTTGGGTGTGCCTCTATTCTATTCCCAGGTGTCTTGGTGGTATACCTGTGGAGGCTGCCTTTCTGGGTTCAGTATGTTTGTTCTATGAGTTAGGGTTTTGATATTCTGTTTTGGTGTCTGTCCAAATGCTCTCACTTGGTCTCTTTGGTACTGTCACCAGATCCCATAAGTAATCTGAGAAGGAAATAAGTGTCCTCTCTCAGCCTCTTTCTGGTGGGCTCTCTGTGCCTTCCTTCATCTTTTCTCGCTTTAACCCCTGCCCTCCTCCCTTGGGCTCTGATGAAAATGGTTGATGGAAACTACTTCACTTCTCAATAAAAATTGTTGATAGCTTTAAAACAATTATCTCAGGTCTGCTTCTTGGATTCTAAAGAATTGGTTCTCATACGCAATACTTCATTTGGTTTCTCTACATCCTATGTGAAAAGTATCACGTACCGTACAAGAATGTTTTAGAATGAACATTGCGAAATCTTCCTCCTCTGAAAGCATAGATAAGGGTAGTCATTTCACTCTATCAGTCACTGCTGCTGATTTAAATGAATGGACACAGGTTTATTTGAAATATTTGGATAAGTTGAAACACTAACTAATATCCTGCCAGGCAACTGATCTTGAGAAAAATAAGGGTGAGAAAATTGATTGGCCACCCACTCCCCATTTTGGACTGTTGCCTCAGATAATGCTATTTCCCTTAACAGCCTTTCCCATGAGGTGCTTTATATTTCCACTTTTAAGAATATGTAGTATCTGTGAAATGTTCTCCATCTTTTCAGTGACTTTGTGCAAATATTGGATCTTCAAATAACCTATATATTGAGGTGACTGGTGCTGGGTTCCTCGGAGCTGTGTGCCTAGAGAGGTTTCAGTAAAATACAGAAGTCTCCACAGAACAAGATCTGCCTTCTGTAAATGAAGACAACCCTGTTTCCATTCCTACTTAAAAAAAAAAAAAAAAAAAAAAAAAAACAAAAAAAACACACACACACACACACACACAAAAATGCTACTCTTGTACTTAAAGTTTATCTAAGGTAGATGATCTTGTATTTTTTTCAACAACTGCTATTTGCAACAATATATAGTAGAAGTTACTGTTCATTGATTACCTAGTATGTACCCTGATAAACAATTCTATTTTTGTAATAAGCCAGGAAGTTAGGTATCCAAATTTTCCAAAGAAAGAAGCTCTGGTTCAGGGAGTTAAGTTGCTTTTCTACATCCCACAGAACATTAAGGATTCAAACATACTTTACTGGTCCAAACAGCCTAAACTCTTATATATTGTACATTCAAGAAAGACTATGAATTCAGAAGTGAATAAAATAGCTACTTTAGTATTAAGAAATGATCATTACAATAGCTAATATGAATCTGTGACAAGAAGCACACAATCTGGGAATATTCAACCAGAAGTACTATAAAAGACTGTCAGTTTATGAAAGAATCAGTCTCCCAGAGACTGACTGACTGGCTTAGGAATCACTGACTTGCAAATCACACTGAGTTATAAATCAGCCTACCAGAATGGAACTCACTTGTATGTACTATACTATGTGGTATATACTGTACCGTATGTCTTTATTAGTACAATTACTAGATGAGATAGCTTATGTTTTAGTCCAAGGATGTTAAATAATTTTCCTAAGATCATATAACTAGTTAATGCCAAACCCAAGTTTCAGAGGCAAGACTTTCTCATTCTAAATCATAGCTGTTTGTTCCATTATATTTTATTGTTTCTCATTGAATTAACCTTGCTATTGAATAAAATGGAAGTGTCTAGTTTGTACTGTTTTCAAGTGAACATTTAAAAATTTCAAGGTAAAGACTATATTAGCAAACATTGCTTAAGGGGGCATAAAAAACATTTTGGTACTGACAGTTGTTTTATTTTTAAATGACTTAGTGAAATGATAGGAGAAAGTGTACATTCATTATTTTTCAGGATGTGGCTATGGGAAGTTTGGATATGGATTGGTATATTTGCCACAGGCGAGTATATCATTTTGATAAGGTTTTTATGGAAGCACATCTTCTGTAATGATTCAATAACCTGAAAAATAGAAAATGAAATTACTTTCTTTTGAGTCTCTTTCTATTGTTTCTCTACTCCCTTTTTGATTCAAATGTTAGGAAAAGCTGTTAGTTTAGATGCGACACCACATTTGTCCTGTTGGTGACTGTAATGTAAACATGGTAGTCCAACTAGTAGCATCCGGAAAAAAATGATATACTATTAGTAAACATAATTATGGCCTAATAAAGAATGAGAAAGATAGAAAAAAAATCCATATCTTATTTCTCTTTTGCTGGGGAGTAAATCCCAATTATATGCTTTAGTGGATGAGAGATTTGTGTGTGTATGGACGGAAAAAGAAGTTGTTTCAAATTCTCAACAATTCCAGTACTGTTCTTGTTTGCCACTGCACAACATATGACTCAGTGACAAAATTACTGATCATTGATCAGTCACCTTAGCAGCCCTCCGCTTGTCTTTCAGGGAAGCTGTCTTGTTACTAGCCAAACATGTTTGTTAATGTTCTTTTATTTATTTATTTATTTATTTTCAGTATCAGGGATTGAACTCAGGACCCTGCGCTTGCCAGGCAAGCACTTGTTCTACTGAGCTATCTCCCCTGCTCTTGCGAATGTTCTGACAGTATTGTTTAAGTGCTCTATGTAACTGCAGATATATCACATTGTCAGTGCTTGTGGACACATGTAACATACTAGTTTTTGGAAGGCTTTCAAAATATTTGATATTTCACACAAACATCTATTTAGTGGCCTTAGCCAAAGATGTCATTGAGGGATACAAATTTTATTACTTTCTTTTGTCAGGATTTAGGTTTCGCCCTACCAGCAAATTTTCGTCAAGTGTGTATAATCTTCCTTGTGGTCCATACCTTCATTTTACCTTTCTACCGAAGCTTAGCTATTCAGATCATGCAGAGCATCTTCTACTTATTTCATTTGCAATGCTCTAGCAAAAACAAAACCAAACCAAAAAAAAAGCCTTTGCAACACATGCCTTGGATGTGTGAAGATTCCTGCGTTTAGAAAGAACCTCTTTTCCTCTGCTGAGTTGCTCAAGCTAAGACCTCCTCAGTGAGTTCTTGCACAACTCTATATTCACACTGATCATATTCTAATTTCCTGTGTATTCTTTGCTTTTCACTGGACTGGAAGAGAAAGGAAATGTGCTTTATTAATATTGTATCCCCAATAATAAACACACAATGGTTATTTTGTAAAGGTTGGAAGGTCTGTTATCAACATTCCCTGTGATCATGGTACACCAGTGAAACTCATAATGTGATGTGGATGACATCCTAAATCTGACAAAAAAGAGACATGGTAAACAAGCCTGCAGGTGGAAGGCAAATTCTGATTGGGAAGCTTCTGTGTCCATGGAGGTAGGTACCAATATTAAGTGACTGAAAAGGACTGACAGTTTTCCCTGAACAATCTGTCTTCTGATGCCAGGGCCAAGCTATTTGCTCTCTATAGGCTGTCTCACCATGTGCATCATCTATCTTGGTTAGAGTACATAGGTGCCATCTCCATAATTCACAGATCCCCAAGTAGGCAAACTGATATCTGATTGCCACATTTTTCAAACATGAGCCACTTACTGACTGACCATTCAGTCAGAAGTACAATAATGGTGACTAGGCCAGAGAGAAAGTGTATCTGTTATTTCTACCACTGCTTGGGCTCAACTCGCTTGTTGGAGGATTCCCTGGGAATTTGATGTGTTTAGAGGCATGGTATCTACTCACTACACATATGACTGGTCCCAATCTCTCAAGGCACCTGTCTGTCTTAGATATAAATAGCTATCTTTTCCACTTCTGGGAGAAGAAACACCAAATTTATGAGTCATCTGACATTGAGATATCCTACATTATTTTCTAGACTAATTTAGAGACCATGCAATTTTCTCTGTATCATCTGATCTTATATGTAAATTTTAATTTACTGAAATTAAAAGTGCTATCATAAGACAGTCAAAAACAATCATAGCAAGAGTCCTGGATAGGATACTAGAGCTAGGGATTCAGAACAGCCTTAGTAACAGAATGGCCCAAGTCTTCATAGATATGGGCAAAAGCCAAATGTCATCTGTTTCACTTTCCTGGTACCAGTTCAGTGATGAAGCATTGTGGGTCATTCAGTCAGCGCCCTTTTCTTCTTGGTTTGCTTCACTCCAAGAAGCCATCCCTTGGGCTTGGCTCTAACCCCTTCCCCATGCCCATGAAGCTCTCCCTGAGCTACTCCTGTATAACTAGGCATCACTCCACTGTGTTCATAAGACCCTGGCTTTCTCTTAACACCGTCTACTCTCCTAGAACTATACATATTGTTTGTAAATCAACTAATAAGTCATACATTCCATGTAGCTAGGAACTATGATCACTTTGCATATTGTAAAAATCCAGTGAAGTGCCTCATATTAAGCAGCAATAAGTGATTATTAATTAGTAAACACATGACTATATCTTGCTATTTTTCCAACCACATCCTTGGAAAAATCTTGGGAAATTTTATTATCCCCAGCAAAGCACAGTAAGGAGCTTAAGGACTTTTAAAAAATAAATGTGTTATTTATTAAACAAAATTCTTTTATTATTGTGTGTGTTTATCTCATATAAATAGCACATGAGCAAGAATGAAGCTCTAAGAGGTTATGTCAAATCATGCAAATTTACCATCTAAATGTGAGTGTGAATTAGCATATCCAATGGGACATTTATCTCCTGATGTTCTAGTTCTTTCTAATAAATAAAGTTCAATATTAACTCATTTAATGTAAGTAGCAGCCATATGGTGTTTGGTTTTGGAGCTGTCCCACCTCATCCCCAAACTTCATTTCAAACCCTGGCCCCAACATGGAAGAGCTGTGTGATCTCAGATTCCTTCCACTGAAAGTTGTGAGAATGACTTTTAGGTGACCAGTTTGCTGTACAGAGCAAATGTGCTCATACGTGTAAAAATGTCAAGCACTTTACCCAGCACAAAACTAGACATTATGATCTATGTCAGTTTACTTGCTTCAGTGTAATCCAGAGAACTAACCTCACCATTTGAAATAATTAAAGCCCACCGTGGCCCCTTTCGTTTAGGAAAACAAACACTTTTACTTAGAAGCCTTTATCAGATGCATACAGCTTGCTATGAGAGATAATTCTCTATTTAGCTTGCTCATACAGAGAGAGAGAAAGTGAAGGCGCATCCTTCCATCTACTAACATTGCTCTTCAATAGGTTCTTTAAATTCCCT